CACTTCAAACTTTTCGAGGGCTCTAACCACTGCCTCTGGCCGAACGTTATTGAAGGCCCCCTCGATGTCGAGAAAGGTGCCCACTGCAAATTCCTTTTGCAAAAGCGCTGTCTCCAGCCATGACACTACGTCGTGCAAGTCAGTGTCGACCGACCTGCCCTTGATGTAGGCATGCTGCGCTCGTAACAGTTTACCCCTCGGTATTCTGCACCTGATGTACAGATCCATAAGTCTCTCCAGCGTTTTTAACAAAAACGAGGATAGGCTGATGGGTCTGAAATCTTTTGCACCGACATGAGAGCTTTTACCGGCCTTCGGAATGAACGCAACCTTAACCTGTCTCCAGGCCTTCGGGACATGGCCCAATCTAACACAGTTCGCGTAGATAGGGGCCAGCCAGCTGCATGACACCTTAACCGTTCTCTGTAGTTGCGCCGGTATGATGCCATCAGGACCCGGGGACTTGAAGGGCTTAAAAGATTTCAGTGCCCAGGTAAGATGACGCTCATTCAAAAGGTCCAAGAAGGCTGTACAGCCTTCCTGAAGCTCCCCCAGTGGCACTTCTTCAGCAAAGCGATTTCGTGGAAAATGAGCATCTAGGAGTAACCTCAGCGACTCCATGCTACTCGTAGTCCACCCGCTATCTGCATTTCTTAGATACCCCACTGGAGTAGGATTTTTCGCAAGAATGCGTCTAAACCTTGAGGACTCGTGACAACCCTCTACACTGTCGCAGAAGGCTTTCCACGAAGCCCTCTTGGCTTTCTTCAAGTCGGACTTGTAAATAGCCAATCCGGCCTTGTACAACGCCCAGTCGTCGCTAGAGCCACTTTTACGGGCTTTATTGAAGAGTCGTCTACTCGAAGATCTGATCTCCGTTAGCTCCGAAGTCCACCAAGGGGGTTTCCCTCTACTTTTCTGAGTTTTCAGAGGACAGGAGCTTTCAAGAGCAGATCTGCTGACAGAGCTGAAAACCTCGACGAGCTCCTCAATCGCGTCCGCAGATAGGATCGAATCCCTGTCAGGCGGACATCGAAGCTTCCTGCAATACAGGACCCAATTGGTATTCCTGAAGTTTCTGTAGGTTCTATGCTTCGGGCGCGAGGCGTCCAAGCTAAACCCAATATATTTATGATCAGAAAAGGAGTGGTCGTCTAGAACTCTCCATTTCGAGATCAAGGGAGCAATTTCCCTAGAGGCTAGCGTGACATCAAGGACTTCCGCCCTGCTAGCTGTCACAAAAGTAGGGCAGTTTCTCCTATTACAGATAAAAAGATCTACATCACAAATAAAATCAAAAAGTGACTCACCTCTTGCGTTTGTGTCCGAGCTCCCCCAGACGGTGTGCCTTGAGTTGGCATCCGAGCCTATAATAACCGCGGCTCCTTTGCGTCTGGCCTCTGCCAGAGCCATCCTCAGCAAGTTCGGAGGTGGTTCCACCTCGTCGTCGTGCGGCATGTAGGCTGAGACAAGCCAGATTTCCCTAGCACCGTCCTCCAGCCTAGCGGTGACGACGTCCTCGTTGCTGAAATTAGGTAAAAGAAAAACGTTAAGTTCATTTCTGACCAACAGGCAGGCTCTGGTTCTACCTGTGCTGCTTGCCGCCAGGAGCTTATGGCTATTTGTCCTTAGTCCAGATATCCCATAGCTACTCAGCCACGGTTCCTGGATAAGGACAACGTCGGCTTCGTCCCTGCCTAGACGAAGCACTAAATCGGCGGAGGCCGCCTTTGAGTGCTGGAGGTTAATTTGGAGGATCTTCATCCTCCAAACTCCTCTCCAGCAGTGCGAGTTCCGCACCATCGTCCATATCGTCGACGCCAGCCTCCTCGAACAGATGCTCGAGACTGAAGACGGATCCGCCATCACTTGACGATCCGCCTCCCGTGCTCACCGCGTCCGAGAGGACAGGGTCGACGTCCATTTTCGAGAGGGGAACCTTCCCACTCTCTTCCACCCCCGCAGCAGGCAGCGGGCCATCCGCCCTGGCTTCTGTTGGGAGCGTCTTGAGAACGACTCTCTCGAAGCCATAGCTTATGGCCCTCTTTGTGACACTGAGAGGAGCGAGGGACTCCTTGTTCAGGAGTATATGGTGCCTCGGTCCTCTCCAGCCTGATCACCCTCCAGTCTTGGGTGGGGAGAGATGGGTTGCAGTACCGCAACATCTCTTCAATTTCGGCCGGGGTGGAAGGTTCGGCCGGAAGCCAGACCCGAGCCCGAGGCCGCATCGGGAGATCCGATTTGGCCACCGCCTCGAGCCTTGCTCCTTTCCCTCCCCTACCCTGGCTACCCTCCCCTACCCTGGCTACCGCCTCCTTGTAAAGGAGAGCCGACCGCACGTCGGCACACCTAATGAGTTTGTGAATGCCGAGGTTCCACCCAGCGCTTTCACATCTAGGGGGTGGTCCAGGGCTTCCCCTGACCACCTTCATGAAAACAGCGGAGATAGCAGCCGCTACCCGCTTCCACTCGTCATGGGAGATGGCTCCATCTCCTCTGCTTCGGTCGTACACCCCAAGCTCCACTGAGCTTGCGAGTTTAGCGATTTCGCTAAACATAGGTGCGGGTCCGACCCGAGGCTTTTTGCCGAGGGAGGATTCCACCTCCTGCGATCTTTGCCGCTTTATTGAGGTTTGGGGCCCGCTCGGCCCCACTTTATCGTCGCCCACGTCGCTCAGCACCTTTTTGGCCCATTCCAGTGTGCTAGCATGCTGGTCAGATTTCTGGTCAGCCTGCTTGTCACCGTAGCGCTCCAAAATCTTGGCAGCCAGTCGACGATCAGACTTCAGCTTTTTAGCTGCAGTCACTCGCTTCCCCGCCGGGCCCCTAGCGCTCGCCGAGGACCCCGTGACCCCCATGAACATAGCAGAGGTTCCTCTGCTAGTGCTGGCGATTCCGCCTTGCACTTCCGCCCTACCCCGGGTTGCTGTCGGCAAACTCCTGGATTCGGCAGGAATAGATTCTGTTAGTTTATGGAAAAATGTTGTCGTTGGTCGAAGGAATTAGAAAAATATCCCTTCAAAAAATGGCACAAAATTTGATCAAAATCGGTTCAGCAGGTTTTAAGATATTGTGGTCACAGACTTAAAAATCGTAATTGTGAGAAAAACAAGAATTTGTTATCGTTACCCGTACGGCGCCGACTTGCTAATTCAAAAATATTTCTCGAATCTTGTTAAATATTTTTATACAACATGAAAATATATACATATATACTTTAAGAAATTGCAAACAAAGCGATTTTTTGAAAATCGTGACTAGGTATAACCCCTTAGGGATTCAATGGCAGCGAAGCCGCAGGTTAAGCTAATAAAAAATATGAAAATTCGTTTTTAAGACCAGATAAATATTTTCTGATATTAAAACAGATATATGTACAAGGTGCGTTCCAAAGTAAACAGTAAAAAATTAACAGTGTAAACTCTAGTGGCGCCATCGTGCGTTAGAATCTGCTATCCTTTATCGATTTCCAGTAAAAATTTCATGACATTTCATCTATTGGAAGTGAAGTTATTGCGTTTTAAGTGTCAGTATGTTTTTGTCATCGGTGCGAAAATGAGCTTCAAACAAAGAGCCAACATTAAATTTTGTTTTAAAATTGGTAAAACTTTTACCGAAACGTTTTAATTGATGAAATAAGTTCATGGTTATGATTGCCTATCCCGTAGCAGAGTGCACGAGTGTTTTCAACGTTTTCAAAGTGGTCGTGAGGACATTAATGAGAAATGAGCCGAAACCCAAAAAATCGCGCCTGGAGAAGTCAAAAGTGAAGACAATGCTGATTTGTTTTTATGATTCCAAGATTGTCCACAAAGAACTTGTTCCACCCGGCCAAAACGTTAATGCGGTATTCTACCTTGGAGTTTTGAAGCGTTTGATGCGCCGTATTCGATGTGTTCGGCCCGAATATCGCGAAAATGGAAGTTGGCGTTTGTTGCACGATAACGCGCCGTCTCATCGATCAACGCTTGTGGCCGATGATTTGACCAAAAATCACTTTTTAACAATCAACCACTCCTCGTATTCACCATATATGGCACCGTGCGACTTCTATCTTTTCGGAAAAATGCATTTGCCGATGAAAGGAAAGCGTTATGCAGAAAATTCTTATTCAAAAGGCTTGCACCGGCATACTGGCGGCCATACCGGGCAACGAGCTAAAACACTCGTTCGACATGCTTTTGGACCTTGCAAAAAGCTGTATTAAAGCAGAAGGAGACTATTTATATTTATATTTATAATTAATTGATTTTGCCGATAAAACCATTTGTTCTGTCTTTTTTTTAAAAGTCCTGTTTACTTTGGAACGCACCTTGTAAATAATTTAACTTCTACGCCACTTTGTGAACTAAAAATATTCAAGAAAATTAACAAAATCGGACCAGAATGAGAGCAGTTATAAAAATCTTGTATAATACAAGTAAGGAAAGACAAAGTTTGGCTGCCGCCGAACATTATATGTTTTCGCAATTCGTAAGAATCAAAGGCAGTAAATATTTTCAGGCATTGAAAAGTATTGCATTAAACTAAAGGTTGAAAAAATATAATAAGAACCCAAGGGCCGTAATCGAGTAAAATTTTTTATAAATTTTACAAGAATTCTAGTTTTTATGCGTTAAAATTTGTAAACAAACTCCACTAATTTTTCTTCTTCGTCAGCTTTACAAGTGTTTAGTTTACAATTGTGCTCATAATTGAAATTGATGGCTTGGCTAATTTTCTTCTTATCAAATTATGTTGGCTACGACAGCTGTCTTATAAAATAAATAATTAAGATTTAGCATGAACACGCATATCTAGTATTGATTGCTCGACTTCAGGTCAATTTATAACTGTAAATAATTTGTATACCCTGAACAAGGTATATTAAGTTTGCCACGATATTTGTAACAACCAGAAAGAGATGTCAGAAACACTTTACAATATATATAAAAATGATCAGCGTGGCGAGCTGAGTCGATTTAGCCATGTGCGTCTGTCTGTCTGTACGCGAACTAGTCCCTCAGTTTTTAAGATGCCGATCTGAAATTTTGCACACATCTTTTTCTCCCAAAGATTCTGCTCATTTGTGAGAACCGCCGATATCGGACCACTAAAGCTGCCATACAAATTGAAGGGTCAAAGTCAAGTCCTTGTATGAAAAACGTATTTATTGTACTTGTCGCGATAACTTCAAGAAATTTGGTATGGATTATTTTACAAGCCAATGCTACAATATACTTTTCAGATTGGATACTATAACATTAACCGTTTAAAATAAAGTCCTTGAATAAAAAACATTTTAGATCGTTTTCCAAAACAACGCCACAATTGCCATGTATTCATATCGTTAAGTTCCCGTATGGAAACGCTTTTTTGTAAAGGGTATTATAGTTTCGATGTAACCGAAGTTAACGTTTTTTCTTGTATTCTTATTAAGTCATTAAATTAAAAGTAATCATTATTATCTGTCTCCGCTTCAACTGTCAAGTAAAGTACTACAGACATGTTATCAACAATTTATTTAGGAAAAATCATAAAGTGCTTGGTTGTCAACTAAATGTCGTGTTTTTTATTTACTAGATTTTTAGGAAAGGAAGGCAAAACATACACTTACAATGCTAAATACTCAATTTCTTTCACTTAAAGCAATTCAATAACAAATTTAAAAGAATAAAGAAGAAAAGCAAGAAAAAATTCGAGCAAGTTGAACATCAAAAGCTATTCTATATTCAAGCAATATGAAGTAACATAGAAGTATTAAAAAAAATTTACAAAATACGCGTTTCGTATCCATAAAATGATAGCGACAGCAAATTTTTGTACAGTTTTTATGTACATCGACTTGCCATAAATTCTGTTACAAAGTTTACAATGCATTGATCGTTTTTCCCAAACGTCTACAATTGGTGCCAGAAAGAGAAGTGGTCGTCCTTGTGTGATTCGAACCCATTCAGCCATAAAAACTGTTAGCGAACGAATTCGTAGAAATCCCCTTAGAAAACAGCAAATTATGTCAAGTGAAAAAAATGTATCGATCAGACCAATATCAAGACTTACATGAAACATGAAAGTATCCTTTTTACAAATGAAAAAAATGTCACTGTTGAAGAAGTTTTTAATAAAAAAAACGACAAAATCAACGCCAAAACTTTCAAAGGCGCAAAATATAATATTCCAAAATACATGGGGACCATTCATCTGCTTTAATATTTTGGTGAGGAGTCTCGTGCAAAGGCGTTACACCTCCTCACATCTGTGAAAAAAGGGTTAAAACTAAGGCAAAAGTGTACCAGCGGGATGTTTTAGAAGGCGTGATAAAGCAGTTAAACAATACTCTCTTCGATGGAGAGCATTGTATCTTCCAGCAAGATTCTGCTCCAGCCATCCAAGGCAAAAACGACCCACTAGTGTCTTAAAAGCAATATTCCTGGTTTCATAAATGCAGATGATTGGTCCTCTGGAAGTCCAGATTTGAATGCAATGGACTACAGTTTGTGGTCTGAGTTGGAACACATGGCCTAACGAATATCTAACAGAAATTTATAGAGTCTCAAAATATCTTTGGTTTGGGCAGCGTGGTTAATACCAATAGAAACTGTGCGTACTGCTATTGATCAATGTCCGAATCGTTTGAGGGCTTGTGTAAAAGCAAAAGATGACCATTTCGAATCAAATTTTGTATAACACCCATTTAATATATGAATTATTAAATAAACTTAACTTTATTAAAAATGTACTATAGTTTCATTTTTATAACGGCCTGAACTTGTAACAAAACTTATGGCAGAACAAAGTACCAGATACTCGTATATGTACATCTAAGGCGTTCTTTATTTTGATTCTTCGCTAACGATTTGACACACTTTAATTGATGAATAGGCGCTGGCCGGACATTGAGTAGACTCGTTTTTCGTATAGTATTTAGTGCTAATTTAGCGGTTAAACAGACATCGAATAATTTGTCACACTACATAATTGTTAGACCTACTATAAGACATAAAGAACCAGACTACAAATTCTAACCTATCATCAGAAAGTCAAATGAGCTAATGAGTTTCAAACTGACCATATATAGGATGTAGGCATCGCTGAATTCTAGGATTGTCTATTCTCAATGATGTTTACCAAGTTTAACTTTCTTTTGTTGTTGAGCTGGATAAATTGGTTTGTGTGAAATACTTGATAATTTCCATAGCGATATTTTAAAATAGCTTAAATAAACTGAATCATCTTATCAATTATTATTCAATAATCGAAACACTTTGAGTTATTTCACTAACTTTTTCGAGAATCCATGTTGTGGTCTATCTCAAACAATAGGTAATAATATCTGGAGCTTCAAATTACCGTTAAATAGTGTCAAATTACATGCAGAAAATGTTGCTATAATTTAAAATATCTATTTAAATTAAGTCGACTTAAGCTCTTTTAACATAATGCCACAGATTTCATTATCACATTTTTATGCCATATTTATCTCGAAGTTGAAAATTACATTTATTCGAGCGGCAAAATGCAAATAACACTTTATTTGCCGACAGCATTCGCTCTTCACATTTAACACATGTACTCTTAGCTACTCATAGTCTATATTATATTTACGCGTAGCTACGAACTACGTAGTATAACCAAATAGGCATATCGCTCGCGAATTTCTTTATTTGTATTTTAAAAACAAAACGTTTACTCAGTTGGTTTTCGAAACAGCGCGGAGAGCAAGTGCGCCGCGATAAGTGCTATGCAGAAATTATGACTGATCGAGCGTACAAAACAGCTGTCGGTTTTCAGTTTTGAAGCAGCGTCTTTACCGTTGAGTATACTTGAACGAGTGCTTAATATTTGTATACTAGATCTGCGGATCGATTATTAGCGTGTTTTTCTTGTTTCTTGTTTTTGTTTTTATTATTTATTATTATTTTTTTTTTTTTTGAGAGGAATCGACCTAAAACTGTCTGCATCAGAATTGATTGTTATTAATCGATAAATTTGTGCGCAGAAACTACTTGAAGTATGTCCAATATGGATTGGGTGTGGTGGAAGGATTGGTGGCGCGTCAAGCGGCTACGTAAGCGTTTGCGGCATGCCTTTGATGCGCGTGAACAACAACAAGCCGCTGAAAACGCTGAGGGCACACTAGCGTTCAAACATTGTCGTGTGTGTAATAAGGCGCTGCCGGATATTAGTGGCATTGCCGAGGCGGTTCGCCCATGTCGCCGTTGTCGGCGCAGACATTTGGCCGCCAATACGGTCGCGGCATGTGGCAGCGCTGTCGAACGCACGCCGACAGCAGCCAATCAGCCAGATGACTATGAAAATAATGGCTATTGTTTTGAAGATCATCCTGATGAGGATGAAGATGAGAAGTGCGGTGCGCACAATGATGTGCCACTCGGTGTTGGCTTCGATGACGTTAATTATTATTATGGGGAGGACGATGATGGCAGCTATGATAATATAGAGGACGATGACTTTTGCTATTGCGATGAGTGTTGGAATGTACGTATAGTGCCCAATATATATGAATACGTTGAAAGGCAGCTGACAAGTACATATATATATCATTTGTATTTATGTATAAATGCATAGATAACATTGCAATATAATTTATTTTTAATACGTTTTCATCAACATCCCAGTTTAGTGAATCTACAAATATATATGCTTATGTAGGACTTTGTAACCCCGCATGTTTACCTTTAATATATTTTATGTATATACATCTATACAGTTCTGTTCATAATTATAGCAGTGCGCACTTATAATTTTTATAACTAATTTATTTAAGAAGAAGTGTGTGTATACATATTAGTCAAATTTTTGTTTGTCCACTCCTATAAGCGGACACCCCCATAAGCGGACAAAAATTGTGGAACCGTCAGTGTACGTTTGTGGGAGGTCTCACTGTATTTTAAAAATAGTTTGAAATGTGCATTCATAAAAGTTGCAATGAAACAAACAAAAAGACATGTAAGTGTAATCAAGACATGAAAAAATTACAATTTTAAATATATTTTGTCAGTAAACTTTCTCATTATTAAATCAGATTTCGATTTGACTTAATAGAAATTTGAAAACGAATTTATAATTTCAAAAGTAAGGGCTTTTTGTGTTGATCAAGTTCCCCCCGAAGCTCCTTGCGGTGAACATCACTAAGCCTTGAAGATTCATCTAAAATCAATCGGACGAAAAAAATATTTTTATTAATAGATAATATACTGCCTGGTCGAAGCTTTTGTATTGTTTATATTAATTTTTTTGGACTTTCGGCAATGAATCAGCAAAAACTATTTACCAAACCAACTTCAAAATTTTCAGAAAATATTTCTAAGATATTAGACTAAAAAAAATGCAAAAAAAAACGATATTTTGATAATTCTGACTACCTCTAACCATTTAATACACGAAAATAAAATATACAAATAATCTTAAAATAAAACAAACAAAAAATAATTTATAATCGGAAAGCCTTTTACGAAGAGGTGGTTAGCATCATGCGGAACTCCTTACATACAGGACATAAATTCAGTATATCGGAGTCGATTCAATAAGTAGGAGCTTAACCTGTTACTATGAGTAGTTGTTTGACTCCAACGATTCCATACACAGAAAGAGAGTCGATGAAGATTTTGATAGCTTCGCTGTGAATGGCGTTAAATGCCTATCTGAGATATCAAGAGACATCATGTAATTGAGCGGATTGACAGAAATTCCCACTGGTGGTTGGGCTGGTTTCAATATAGTTAAACAGTAGTGGGAAGAAGACATCACACATTGAAATTTAATTCTTCTTTATTTGAAGTTTTGATTTATGAAATTGATTTGAGGAATCTCTATTGTTTCGATCGAACCGATTTCCTATGCTGACAGTTCTATATTATATACATTTGTTGAAGTTCAAGTCAGGCTGAAGTTCAAGTTGACCTGCGCTCTTTATTGGCAACATTGTTTGAAAGAGCCATTTGTCTCACTAGAGGGCCGTTTTACTTGTATGCTACATTTCTTGCTACGCATTCGGAAGATTAACCTCTTCGGTTATATCGATAATTCTGGTCTATAAGTAAAGTACATCCCTAATAATTTACTTATGTTTTCTTCTCATTTAATTAATTTATTTTTTTTCATTAAAGTTCCTTCGGCGAAATTCAAGCATTACCTTTTATACAGTTACTTTAAGCTGAAACCCAATTTTAATTTAAGAAACTCTTTCAAATTATATCAGTGTATTGTATTAAGTTTGGGTTGGCCGTGCAGTGCTATTATTATGAACACAACTGTATATATAATAATACGTTCATACATAAGTATATATTCACGTACCGCTAAATAATTAAGTTTGAACTAGAAATGCAAGCAATTGAATTTATATCAGTTACGTTTTACAATGTGTCTAGTGACACACAGGCATATGTATATATATGCTACATACACACATACATATGTACATAATCATATTCATTCTACGTAAATTACTGAAACATGTTATAATTGTTTACACTTAATTAACTTATAATTAGTTTGGCTTGTGAGAGTGTGTTGTGTGTATAAATGATAAATAAGTATATACTCTTAGATAGTGGCATTTCTTGGCTTCATCGCTGAATTTCTCGTTGAAAGTCAGGAAAACAAAAAAATAATTATGAATTCATGAATTGTTATGATCTTTGTTGTGATACTTAGAAGTCAAATTATGACGTTTAAAGCTCACATCAGCTGTTTCTAAGTAAACAAATAGATTTTTGTACATAAATTCTTACGTATATGTATATGCATATGTTTTTCCTGATATATATGTTTGTACAGATTTGTATATATATATACTAAGGTGCTAAGCTGTAGCAATGTTTAAGAATATGAAATATTTCTCATGATGTTTCAATTCTTTTAATAATATTGGTTTTTGATATTATATTATTAATATTGTTCGATCAGTTTCTATAGCAGCTATATGCCAAATTTCGTGAACATAATTTGTCAAATAAAAGAGTTTTCAATACAAGAACTTAATTTAGATCGTTCAGTTTATACAGCAGCTATTTGTTATAGATAGGTTTCGACAAATGAGCAGCTTCTTGGGGAAAAAAGTATGTATGCAAAATTTCAGATCGATATCTCAAAACGTGAGAACCTAATTCGCGTATATACAGGTAGACAGACGGACATGGCGACTAAGCTCTTCACGGTATAGAGTCTCCGACGTTTCCTTTTGGATGGCAAACTTAATATACCCCATTAGGGGTATAAAAAAAAGGCGAAGTGCAAAAAAACAACTTTCTTTAACAATTTTTTCTCGAGCGCTTAAAATCGAAGTACTTAGTAATTTCCATGATTTTTATGTTGTTCGAGTTTTTAGATAATGTCGATAACAATAGCAATATAGATTACGCCACTTTTGTTTCGTTTCTTTTTTGTTCACGTTTGATTCAAACGTATATTGGTTTGAGAACGAAAGTAGAGTACGTTTCTTTCGTGTTCAAGCCAAGAAAGAAGGATAGCTGTCAAAAAAAGCGCAATTATTTCACTTTTATGGCTAGCTTTGATAGTTTAATGGGTACATAAACAAATTGTCATATTTGGAGTGGAAACCATCTCTAAATATGCTTTCCACGCCTCTTGGCATCCAGAAAATGAAGTCTGGTGAGATTCTTTGAATGAAGATGGTATTGACGTGATCATTAATAATAAACGCTATAGACAAATAATTCCCTATTCTTAAGATCTCCAGGTCAATATCAACTG